CCAGAAGTTAGGGCAGCAGCTCTTGTGAGGAAGGCTGAAATGTGGACTTGGGCACTGAATAATTAAGTGACAGGCTTATTTCACATAGGAGTTCTGTCTCCAGCTGCGCCTGGTTAGTTTATGTTTCTGCAGCTGTCTAGGTAAAGGGTCCTGACTTGAAAGGGAGAAGGAGACAGCACAGGTGACCCGCCAGCATGCCTGGAGTTACCCTGGGGAAAGGAGCACCTCAGCTGGAAAACCAAGCCAGGGAGGCCCAAGGGGAAGTGATGGTGATGATGCAGCAGCTGGAGGGGGTCATAAACACGGCACCCTACCAGGGAAATGCACGCACCCCAAATGCTGTGGTCTTGGGTACTTGCGTTGTTCTTCAGTCTTAAGTAAAGCTCATAGTGTCTCGATTTAAGGAGGTTCAAGGGAAAACTGTAAAAAGTAGGTAACAGTACCTAGGGTGGGCAGGAATAAAGGGTTTAAGATGACCCATATGTTATCTTGCAAGACAGATAGGCAATTCACGTAACCTGCTTGAGCATATGTATTTGTTTTATAAAAAGTATATAAAGAGGGCAGGTCTGGAGGACAGGTTGCCTCAAATTACACACATGTTCCACTTAACCCGCTCTGACTGGATTACTGATGTACGAGTATGCCCCAAAGCAGGGGGATGGAGAGGAGAGCACAATTTCCCCTGGCGGATAGGGTTAGGGTTCTGTCTATGGGTGGGTAGACGGACTTGACCTTCAGTGTAACAGCTCATTTCTGGAGTCAGCAGGTCAAAGGAGTTCCAGGTAAGACTTTTGTGATTTACATCCCAAGAAGTGAGTCGGGCTTAGGTTGAGAGAATGTGAGTACCTGGATACATGGTAAGGTCAAGGCCTGGCCAGAAAGGGGAGCAGAGAACAAGGGTTGTCACTAGGGCTTGCATATTCTTCAGGAAAAGAGCTACGTAATAGCGCTGAGAGGCAGAGGCGAGGGGGCGCTGGAGGTGAGAGTGGTGTGCCAGAAGTAACACATTATAGCTCTGATACTTTAAAAGACAAGCCTAGATATCAAATCTAGAAGCTTAAAAAGATTCCTTAGTGGAAGAAGATTGATTCTAAGGACATGAAATGTCTTGGCATAAGCTTTGGACTATGGACTCCTGCCTAGATTAATGTGTGATATGGTGGTGCATCTAAGTGCAATTTACGGAAGAAAATTTCACCTCGCATGGTAATACCATTTACTCTCCATGTAAATCATTATTTCAGCAACTTCTATATAAATCCCATAGCAATAATGTTTGATAATAAAGTTGTACCCCCATTCACTTTCTATACATATTTAATTCTTCTTGAACTCATGAAAGAATAAAATGGGGGCAGAAGTGTTTTTGTACCTCCTTCATTGATACTCCACTGGGGACCAAAAAATTGAGCTAATAAATTTAACTGTAAAAAAAAAATTCTATTACTGTGTGTTTATATGTTTGTTTCAAGGAAAACAGTCACAACAATAAAAACTGAAATATAATTAATGTACCCCAAGCTAAACATACAAGTGTGTAGGGCCAGGTCATGTTGGTCATTCTAAATTTGTTGCTCATGTGTGAGTTGCCTCTTAAGGTTTGGGTTGTAAATAATTTAAGAATTTGTTTGCTGATGCAGTTTGTTTCTTTGCAAGCAGTCTAGTACTTTTTCTTTCAAATGTGATCACGTTATAATTTCTCCAGATGGGTAGTGTTTATGATGTGCATTTAGAATTCTGCTTGTGAGAGAGGGCCTCACCTTTCCTTTATAGTCATTTGCATCATTGGTTCCTGTGAGATTTTCTGTACTTGGTGAGAATATTAGATGGCTTGACAGTGGATTATACAAAGGTGATGAAGGCAGGAATAGTGAATCTTTTGCAGAGGAAAGTACTAGAGGAAGTTTCCCACGAATCACCTGAGAGCACTGTAGGAAGTAGGGTTTGCTACGGTAACAGGTAATGTTGCAGGTGCTGGGCTGCATTGCTGTGTTCATTCAATCTTACCAACAATCGCCGCTTGCCCTCTTAGGTGAGTTCAAGTGTGAGGTAAAAGCAAGGTTCTCTTTGTTTTCCAAAGGGAGTCTGTAGCTTTGGAAAAGCAGGACCTTGGAAAGGGCACTTGTACTCCAGTCCCTCTCCTGCTTTTATTTAGCTTCTCCCACTCCTGTGATTTCTACCTTCGTGAAATGGGGAGAAAATGTTTTCACAAGCTTTCCACACATTATTGCATTACTTTACCAAGCTTCTCTCTGCCAACGCCTTTTGCTGGGCTCCAGGTTACTGTGGTTGGCAGGATGTAGAGGCTGTGCCCTCAAGGAACTTGGGGTCTAGCAGGAATGACGTAAAATGGAGTAAACAATAATGATGAAGGGTGCCAGTTGCTTTGATGGGGAGCACGTGCTGCCATGGACAGGTGCATCCAACCTAGTTTGCAGGGACGTGGGGTTAAGGCAGGCTTTGCAGAACTGGCATTTGATCTGATGATAACTGATGGTGGGCGGGTTTAGCTTGAAGAGGAGAAGAGTCCTAGGGGAAGGGTGTTCTAGGCAGAGAGAACAGCATGTGCAAAGGCCAGAACGGGAGGAGGTTTAGCATGCAAAAGGGAAACAGGAACTTACAGGACTTCGATGTGGCCGGAGCACAGAAGGCTAGGAGAAAGTGGCAAGAGATGGAGCGACAGACAGTGGCTGATCCTGAATGGCCTTGAAGTCACATTTAGGAGTTTGGAGTGTATCTCAAGAAGGCAAGCTATTGATGGATCCTGACCAGAGGCAGGGTAACAATTAGGAGGCTGTTGCAGCGTCAGGAGAGATTTGCTGGTGGCCTGGACTGGGTTGGGACAGTGGGAGAAGAGCAATGGAGGGAACTGCGAGGCAGAATTGACAGAACGTGATGATTGGATGACAGAGGTGAGAGAGGAGAGAGGGGCGGGGATGACATGCGCATTTCTGGTTTAGGATTGTGATACCATTCCCTGAGGTAGGGGATCAGAAAAAGGGCAAGTTTGGGGAGAAAGATGTTGCCTTCATCTTTGAGCATTCTGACTGGTGGATGCCTGTGGAATATATGCACATAGTTGTTTAGCTGGCAGTTGGAAATTTGGCAGTGGGACAGAGGAGAGATTCTGGGGCAAATAACTAGATTTGGTTGTCATCAGCACATTGAAGCCATGAATATAAATGAGTCATTGAGGGAGAAAAGAGAAAGGACCAGGGGGACACCAGGATTTGGGAGATGAGCAAAAGAAGAACCTCTAAAGGAGGCTGAAGAGGTTGAGCAGAGATGGGGGGGAGCAGCAGGAGGGAGTGTTCTGGAAGCCAGTGAAGCCGTGAGGCTGCACGGAGGGGCGGCTGGTCAGGTCACACAGTGGTCAGGTAGGACAAAGCTAGAACATATCCATCAGAGGTAGCAACCATGCCAGTTGGGGACCTCAGGAATAGCAGTTTAAGGTGATGGGACCAATGAGAAGAAGTAGAACAGGGAACACAGACGACCTTTTTTTTTTTTTTTCTGGTAAGACTTTTTTCTTTTTTTTAGAACAGGTTT